AGAGCAGCTGAGAAACTAACATAAAATAATCAAAAATATATATATATTTGTTTCTGTAGCAGCTGACATTAATCATGAAATATGCGTGTCAAATTGACCTGCAGACATTATAATCCCAATAGAATGTTTGAATTCAAATTTCACAACATATCAGAAATGAGAAAAAGTCACAAAATATCAAAAAAAATGTTTTTAACTGTTTTAAAATACAAGACTCATTTACTGGAGATTCACAATGACTGAAGATGAGAAGAGAAACTGATCAAAATGAAGATACTTTATGGTTAAACCAGAACATGTATCTGTCAATGGACTTTATTTAAAGGGAAAACACTTTTATATTTCTGAACCCAGTGACAAATGTTTGAACTTTTTTTAATGATAAACTCACTTCAGTTTGATACATTTCTCAGACTTACTATCTTCAGTCATTGTGAATCTCCAGTAAACATGTCTTGATTTAAGGATGTTCAGATGTTTGCGCTGGAAAACCAGACAAACATACTGAGTAAGAGCATGAGTTTCTGCAGCGTGAGAGTGTTTCGGTGTGTTGGTGGTAAATTGAGGAGGTCTGAACTCACCCTTCACCCTCATCTCGACCTCCAGCGCCTCTCGCACCCCGAGGGATGAAAGACAATAGTTTACTGAGGAACATGAGCTGATGACTGGAAGTCAGAGCAGTCTGGAGAATGATGAACGCGCTGTACTTTAGTCTGTTCAGAGGAAGAATTCTTTCAACTTTAGATCACTTAGACAAATTATATGTGACCCTGGAATACAAAAGCAGTCATAAGCAGCACAGGCATATTTGTAGCAATAGCCAAGAATACATTGTATGGGTCAAAATTATACATTTTTCTTTTATGCCAAAAATCATTAGAATATTAAGTAAAGATCATGTTCCATGAAGATGTTTTGTAAATTTCCTACCATGAATATATCAAAAATGTATTTATCTTTAGTAATATGCATTGCTAAGAACTTCATTTGGACAACTTTAAAGATGATTTTCTCAATATTTAGATTTTTTTGCACCCTCAGATTCCAGATTTTCAAATAGTTGTATCTCAGCCAAATATTGTCCGATCCTAACAAACCATACATCAATGGAAAGATTATTTCAGGTGATGTATACATTTCAATTTCACAAAATTGACCCTTATGACTGGTTTTGTGGTGCAGGGTCACAAATTATATTTTCTGTGGTGTATTTATGTGGAAAACTCATGGGGAAAAACATTCAAATATATTTTTAAATATGAAAAAAAAATGGCCAAAAATATATATTTGTTAAAATATGTTTTAAAATATGTAAATACGTTTTCTACCAATATTTTTTTGTATGTTTTTGAAAATGTATTTTAAAAATATAAAGATATTTTAAAAGAATTCAAAAATATATTTTGACCATATATTTCAATTCAAGAAAATACATTCACGTCACATTTGAATTTTTTTTTTTTGTCTATAACACACGTGAGCATATAACACATTTGAATAAAAATAATAATAAACTAAATAAGAATGTAGGCTACTGTAAGATTTCTTGCCTCTGAAATACATTTTAAAATATATTTTGGTATATATGAAGTTTGAAACTAAATATATTTTCAATTTCCAAAATATATTCCATTGAGCTTCACTCTTTACAACTTATATTTTTTATATTATTATATATATATTATATACATTTTAAATCAGATATGGCTAGCACTGTTAAACCTATGCGTTGGTCTCGTATACTGACGTATACTGTGTTTTCCGCAGCGTTCAGTGCGCTTGCTGGAGTCTCCGACGCACAAATCCAGGATTTGAGTGCAACTGAACACCTTAGCTGGTTTAACACTGCTTGACCAATATTTTAGATGAAGTGGCTCCCTTGAAAGTTAAATACAAAAACCTAAGTCTGAGCCATGGGTAAATGAGGCTGTTCGGGAGATTAGACGGACCTGTAGACGAGCAGAAAGGGAATGGAAGAAAGACAAACTACAGGTCTCCTACGAACTACTAAGGGACACTCTCTCTAAATTTCAACGGGCTGTGAGATCAGCAAAGTCCAAATACTTTGCTGACCTCATCGAAAGAAATTGTAATAATCCAAGAACTCTTTTTAAAACTATAAATGCTGTAGTAAATCCTGCTACTAGTATGCCCCATCAGTGTGAGTCAATAATTATGTGTGAAAATGTTCTGCAATTTTTTGTTAATAAGATAAGAGACATAAGATTGAATATCATGCCTGTAATAGCCGATCCAGCTGTGCCTCCTGTATATCATGTTGTTTTTAATCAATTTACAGTAATTTCTCTCTCTTCGTTGCAGGAAATTGTAAATAAGCTGAAACCCACTGGTTCCACGCTTGATGTAATTCCTCCTCGCCTTGTTAAACACGTTTTAAATTCGATAGGGCCCAATCTTTTAGCATTTATAAATAAATGTCTTGAGGCTGTAAATTTTCTAAATTTAAATGAAAATAAGACAGAGATTATCGTATTTGGGCACACACAATAAAAAAAAATAAAAAATCAAATTTGAATCTTGGCCCTCTCTCTCCATATATAAAAGCCTGTGTAAAAAACCTGGGAGTCTATTTGGATAGTGCTTTGAAGTTCGACATTCAGGTCAGCTCTGTGGTCAAATCTAGTTTCTTCCATCTAAGAGCACTGGCAAAGGTGAAGTCTTTTCTGTCTTTTAAGAACTTTGAGAGGGCTATTCATGCCCTCATTACTTCAAGGCTTGACTATTGTAACGCACTTTATATAGAGATAAGTCAAGGCTCACTTTCTAGACTTCAAGTGGTTCAGAATGCAGCGGCCAGGCTCCTGACTGGGGTTAAAAAATCTGAACACACCACACCGATGTTAATGTCATTACACTGGTTGCCGGTCCGCTACAGAATTGATTTTAAGGTCCTTTTAATGGTTTATAAAGCTCTAAACGGCTTGGCACCTTCTTACCTTACTGATCTTTTGTCGGAATATGACCCAGGGAAGTCCTTGAGATCATCAAATCAGGGAATATTAGTGGTTCCAAGAACAAAACTAAAACTTAGAGGTGACCGGGCATTTGCAGTAGCCGCGCCAACATTGTAGAATAGCCTGCCGGCTAGTATTAGGACTGCCAGAACTGTAGGTAATTTAAAATCAAAACTGAAGTTTTATTTGTTTGAAATAGCTTTTAACAAATGACATAGTGTCATGTTATATTTGGTATGTATATTTTTTGTTTTGTTTTGTTTATTGTATTTTTATTTGTTTTAATTTATTGTTTAATGTTTATGCACAGCACATTGGTCAACAGCTGTTGTTTTAAATAGTGCTTTATAAATAAAGTGACATTGACAAGCTGCCCTATTGAAAAGTAATCCACTCTCCAGATCCGAATCAGAACTAGTTTGAGCTCTTCATGAGGAAAGTGTTTGTTTTTTGGTCACTGCTGCATGTGCTCATGTCCGTCTCTGTTCTTCTCTCGCAGTCGATTCGTTTGTCTGACGATGAGTCGAGTAATCTGCTGCAGGAATGTGAGGAGGACATGATCCGATCTCCTGCAGGTTCCTCATCAGAATCATCTCTCGGGACGAGCTCAGCTCTGGATGCTTCTCCACGTCTCTCTGGCTCGGATCTGCTACAGCACAGTGAGACTGACACAAAGAAAGAGGCATGAAATATGAAGGAGACTGTTCTTCTGTTTTCTATTTCGCTCTGGTTCATAATCTAGGTCTTTGTGCTTTTAGAGTTGCACAATAAGTGAGGACATGAAAGTGTGTTTGTCATCCAGTCTCTGATGTGTCTGCCAGCGTCAGCATCACGGTCAGACTCCAGAACATCTGAAATAGAACGTAAGAGGACAAAATAAATTGTTCCTTTTCAAAAATCAAACCAATATGTCTTTTTATTCATGTCATGAGTTTTTGATTTACTCAAAGAAATATGTGGATCAAATCCATCTGAATCCATCTGATGCTGACCTTGGTCTTTGGTTAGTTGAGAACCCTCACTAGTGCACTTTTGTTGTGGCTCATTAACACACACTACCGTCCAAACATTTGGGTAATGCTTTAAATGAATAAAAAATGGCATATTTTGAAAATAAATCGAAAATTCGAAAATGTTTAAATCATTAAAATGTATCACGGTTTCCACAAATATATTGTGCAGCACAACTGTTTTCAACATCGATAATAATCAGAAATGTTTCTTGAGCAGCAAATCAGCATATTAGAATGATTTCTGAAGATCATGTGACACTGAAGACTGGAGTAATGATGCTGAAAATTCAGCTTTGATCACAGGAATAAATTATAGTTTAACAGATATTCACATAGAAAACAGCTATTTGAAATTATAATATGTTACTATTAGTTTTTACTGTATTTTGATTAAATAAATGCAGCCTTGGTGAACGGAAGAGATTTCTTTCAAAAATATTAAAGTCATACCAACCCCAAACTTTTGAACAGTAGTGTTGTAAATCAATGTGCAGAGCTAAAGCAAAAACAGCTCACATTGTCTTCACAAACTGTAGATTAGTGAGTGTAAAGCATGACATGTTTTATAATATCCATGTGCACGTTCTGAGCGAGTGTTCGGTGAATGTGGATTCGTGTTCATGTGAACGTGTTACAGCGACTCCAGCATTCCCAGCATTTCTGACCTTGAAGGTGAGTATTTGCTGATAAATGATCCTGGATTTCATGTGAAAGTACATGAGAAAATACAGTTTTTTAAACGCCCTTTTGACCAAATTAGCTTTTATTGTAGCAGTAACCGTGAGTCATTTTAACCATAAACCAAACCACAGACACAGACTACGCAATTAAAATGTCTACTCAAGACAACTTCTTATTTATGGACTGGATTCCTTTGAGATTTACAGTGTAAACTTTTTTTAGAAATCAGGCCAGCTGACTGTATTTTCATACCGAGCACAGTGCAGGTCAAGGGAAGACGTCATTTAAGCAGATTCTGGAGCTACTTAAAAACAAAAGTATTTCATTGTCATTTTTTACTCAAATGTATTTATTGTTCTTTGATTTTACAAAAGGATTGATAAGAATTAAACAACATTACTGTGTAAAACTAGTAACGATACTGACACTGAAGCATCCTTAAACATAAAAAACTAAGAAAATCCTCATCAGTGTGCAAACAGTTTATACAAACACTTCCAATGTCAGGTTACAGTTACTCATAAATTATATTAAATAGCATATATCTACACATAAGACATTAAAACAGGAAAAAAAACAACTTTACCAATAACTTATTTAAAAAAAAAAAAAAAAGACAATTCATTAATTAAGGCACTAACTATTTATATTGACTTTGCATTCATGTTCTACTGGGGCCTCTCATAAATTTAGTTTTTTTTCTTTTATTATTTACAGAATTAATGTTTTACTACATACAGTAGCTTTAAAACAAAACAGAACTGAATTATAAATGGCACAAATATAATTTGCAATTTTTGTTGAGTTCAATTATACACCAGTGAGGTAATATTTGTACGTTTACATCATATTTTGTTCACCATTCATTCACCCCAGTCTGTTCCTCTCGGACGGAAGGGAACACTCCAGTTGTTCTCTTTGTTTGTTAGTTTCAGTAATTTGTGGCACTGAGATGAGTTCTCATACATCCATCTCCTCTCAACACAATAAATAAATTAAACAAGTGCGCCTATTATCCGTCCCTCTGTAACATCTCAACTTCCTTTTTCATTTCCGCTTGTTTAGAGCCACAAAAACTCTTGAGTCTGTGAATGATTATAAAAGCTCATCAGGACATCTGTGTATTAATCTAAGACATGAACTTCCTCCTTGAGTGGCAAATCACAAAGGTCCTTCTAGCCCTGAGAAGCACTCCACTCTATAAACAGTGAAATTAAGACTCTTGGGTTGTCAACATCGATGACTGAATCTGATCAAAAACAGACATCAAGACTGCTGAATTTGGGGGGTAATGGGTAACAAGCCTGAATCAATGAGTCCTGAAGATCTGGATGTCTCAATCCATGCAGAAGAACACGCTTTCACAAAGTCAAACAGACAGTCTGTGCTGCGTGTCACTCCTCAACAGTTCCTCCTGTGGGATCTCGAACCCACCAGAATCGAGGGAAAGCTTTTGCTTCAGTTTATAAGTGGCTCTTTTGTCATGATCATAGTCCACAGCAGATCTGAGCTGACATTACAGAAGAACTTCCCTTTACCAATTGCATGATAAGAAACAAGCTGAGATGATTGATGGCTCTTCATGCTCAACCTGCTCCTGTGGTCCTTGCTTATATGGAAAGTTTTTGGCCTCCACGTTTGGATCCTCGATCCCACCACAGAAGGGTTTTATAACACAGAACACATTTAAACCGACAGAAAAGAACAGATAGCGGGCACATACATAAGGAAAACGCTGATGGAGCCATTAAGATGCATCTGCAAGAGAGTCAAACAAACACTTGTGAGCTTTCCTGAACAATAAGACAGCTACAGAGAGAAATATTCTTCAAAACTATTCAAACGTGTTACCTCGGCATTCGTATTTGAGGTCTGAGAAGTAAACCATCTCTTGAGAGAAGACAAAGAGGCCAAGTCTTCCTCCGGCATATGTCTTGTCATTGATGCTTCCTGAATCAGCCAAGACTTTCTTGCCTTCATACATAATGACTCTAAAAATCAATCAAAAGAACAGGAGTAAGTGAAGCTGTTTTTTCAGTTTAGCTGTTTAATAACTAGGAAAAAATGGTTGAAAGAAGTCAGGGGTGTCCAAAATCGGTCCTGGGGGCCGGTGTCCTGCAGAGTTTATCTTCAACTTGCCTCAACATACCTGCCTGGAAGTTTCAAGTATGCCTAGTTCTGGGGCCTCATTTACAAAGCGTGCATACGCTCAGATTTGATCTTAGAGTGTGTGTACGCTTAAATCCACACCAACGCTCATATTTCTAAAAACTGGCTTTGACGTGGAAAAGTGCTTAGCGTCATGTCAGGGTCTGAGCAGACCTACGCACTTTTTCTTGTTCGAGTACTGCAGGTTTTTGGAAATGTAAGCTGTTCTTGCAGCTAGCTGTTCTAAATTAAACAATATGGATGATGACTGGTGATCTTTTACATGTTAATGACATTAATTAGGAGTCGTTTACAAGGCAGAGAGCTGAAACCATTTATTTGCGCACAAGTTCAAGACCATTTGCGATTCATAGATTACACATCTGAAAGAGAGGTGTACATTCATTTTATGCATCACATGTACGCATATTTGAGAGATGATCGTAAGATCAATTTTAGGATGGTTTCTGCATAACATTTTATAAATGAGGCCCCAGGTGTGTTTGATTAGGTTTAGAGCCAAACTCTACAGGACACTGGCCCTCCATGACCGAGTTTTGACACCCCTGATCTAAGTTAAGGCTGCCCAATGCTGTTCCTGGAGATCCACCTACCTGCAGAGTTCAGTTCCAACCCTGCTCCATCACACCTGTGTGGAATTATCAAGAGGTCCTCAAGCTCCTAAATAGCTGGTTCAGTTGTGTTTGATGAGGACCAGAGCTTAGCTGAGAAATTTAGAGCTCCAGGAACGGGATTGGGCACTCCTGATCTAAGTTGGCTTCCACACTTACCTGATGTGTCCGGTTTTGGGTCTGTGGATCAGGTGCCATCTGTAGGCGGTGTAATCCTTCCAGCCAATGTTCTTGGGATCATGCCACAAGGTACGCACCTGCGAATGGTCCAAAATAAGGTGAGCAGGACATTTCAAACACCAAACTCAATTGAATGTTCTCATGACAGCTTGAGACCGATACGTACTTGTCCCTCGGTGTCTCCAGTGTGCCACAAAGCGTTCCTGAGGTGTTCACCCGGTCCTGTGGTCGAGTTCACTACTTTAATGGACAGTCCAGAGTACCCCTGTGCTTTAGTGGGTGTATGAGACCAGTAGGTCTGTGTGATCTGTTTCCACATCACCACGTAGAAACGTGAGCTGGATTGGTAGCCAAACACAAAGCCGGCGTAGTCGTCGTCACGGTCTGTGTTGATGAAGAATGTGCCGCTAAAGTCCACGGCATTGAACTCATCATAACCTGAGGGACAACAACAACAAGAAGATTAACTGGATGTAGATGAATGTGTTTATCATGAGCTGTATCTCTCAACCACTTACCAACAGCAATGCCAGGATCACAGTTGACGGTCTGCAGAAGTTCTTTGCCCTGGTGACGGACAACCCAGTTGGGGTCGATTTGGGAAGTTCCCGTGGGATCGAGAGGAACCATTTGGAACCTACGGAAGTCTGTTTCACTGATGCCAAAGTTCTCCGGGCAAACGTCGTAAATATCCGGCACGTTATCGACGTCAAAGTCGTCCTTGCAAACGTCGCCTCGCCCGTCTCCTAGGCAGGAGAAAAGAGGCAAAAATTCAGCATGTGGAAGTTTACACTCGCACAAATAAAATTTCACATGAAATGGACAAAAATCAGCGCCGGCGCATTGGACTCACCGTCCGAATCCAGTTGATCTGGGTTGAAGGCGAGTCGGCAGTTGTCTTTGTCATCAGGCACGCCATCATTGTCGTCGTCGTGATCGCAGGCATCTCCTTTGCCGTCCTTGTCGTGGTCGACCTGGTTGGCGTTGGAGATGTAGGGACAGTTGTCAAGGTTGTTCTGATGGCCATCCTCATCGATGTCCTGGTTGTTGTCACACTTGTCTCCAATGTTGTCAGAGTCAGAGTCGATCTGTGACATCACATGGATTATTGCAAAGTCTTCATCCTCTGCTGTTCATAGTTGCACACTAAAGTCTTAAAAAAGCAAGTTCAAGCATCTCACCTGGTCAGGGTTGTGCTCCAGTGGGCAGTTGTCACAGTGGTCACCCACTCCGTCTCGGTCACTGTCTCTCTGGTCAGTGTTGTACACATATGGACAGTTGTCCTTCTCATTCAGGATGCCTAGACAAATAAATTCCAGTGTTACACCAAAACACTCTTATAATGGTTTCTGCGTTTTTTGTGTTGATCGAGTTACATGATGAAAGACTTACCATCACCATCGATGTCAATAGCACACGCATCACCCTCGCCGTTGTTGTCGGTGTCGGTCTGTTCTGGATTACTGTCATATGGACAATTATCGCATCTGTCACCAACTTGATCGCGGTCATGGTCGTACTGTCTTGGGTTAAAGATGAACGGGCAATTGTCCTGGTTCAAAACAAAAACATCCAGCCAAGTCAGTGATGAAACCAGAAAGACAGAAAACATCTGGAGACTCTCTTTACCTCACCGATCGAAATTTCTAAATACACACACACAACATAGAGAAGCACTAAACAAAATTAATGTCTGAAGCGATATGCCATGGACGTGATGGTTTGGGAAACAGCTGTGCTGGAATGCACTGTTTTTGGCTGCAAGACTCTGACTGTTTGTTTGCCAGTCAAATTTTTTCCAAGTGTACGATTTGAATTATGGATGTTAAACCAAGCGATCCAGAATGGCTGGATGGAAGCCATCATAAATGCTTTATTTATTTGCTACTGGCAAAGTTCCGCTTTCTCTCTTTCTTTCTTTTGTTCACTGTGTACTTTTTTAATAAAAATAACACTTATATACTATATAAAGAATACTTATATAATATAAAGAATACTTATATTTATTTGTTACCACCCTACATCCTAGTACATCCCTACATCTTATTCTATTCTATTCCTATTCTACTCTATATATTGCACACCTGTACATACAATTTATTTTATTTTTCAATTTATTTTTCAATTTTTTGTTTATTTATATTTACACGTGTATTTTTATTCTCATCTTATTTTTTTATTGTCTGTGTGTTGTTTTTGTTGTCTCTGTGTACTGGAAGCTTGTGACACTAAAACAAATTCCTTGTATACGCAAACATACTTGGTAATAAAGCTTTTTCTGACTTCTGACTTCTTTCTTTTTTAGTCAGTAGCATGCTATGACAGTCATCTCTATATTCTCTTGCAGAAGAACAATGTGTTTACGACTTACCCCGTCATCAGGGATCCCATCATTGTCATCATCATTGTCACAAGCATCTCCAGTTCCATCTTTGTCATAGTCTTCTTGACCAGAGTTGGGAAGGTCAGGACAGTTGTCCTAAAAATGACATGTTTTGATGAAGATTCTGTAAAACCTTGTGTAATGGGATATGGTGAAGAAATGGTCACATACCTTCTTGCAGTGGTAGGTGGCGTTTTCCACACAGTGCAGGTCCGTATTTGGCCAGCCGTCAAGGTCAGAGTCCTCTCCACAGATGTAACCGTTCCCAGCATAGCCTGGTTTACATTCGCAGCGGTACATGATGTCAGAGAAGATGCCCAAGTAGATGCATTTGGCATTCTTATTGCAGTCATGGCTGCCATCCTCGCATGGGTTTCTAGGTGTGCAGACCTGTGAATAGGTCGATTTAATGTTGGTTAGCACTTCATGGAAGGAGAAAGAACTGGCCCTTCCCATCATTAACACTGTTCTTAAGACTAGTCTAACCTGTTTTTTGGCAATGGCCTGCTCCGTTCCCCTGCCGAAGGGCTGCTGTCCAGAGTAGCGTGGAGGGCAGGGCAGGCAGTTGTAGCCTGGTTCTGTGTTCACACACTGGTGGACTCCATTGAGCACGAAACAGGCATCGGGAACTTCTTTGCACTGCATATACCAAAATTAAGAATATTTAGAAACAGCAGTATCTTCATTTAGAGGTGCCTATCTCATTAGCGTGACACCTCACCTCGTCAATGTCTTGACAGTGGACTCCATCCCCAGTGTATCCAACCGGACACTCGCCACACTTCCAGGAGCCATCGGGGAAGCTGGTGCATTTGGTGCCGGCGAAGCACGGGTTAGACAGGCATCCATCTGTTCATGATAGTACAGAACTTATTTTGATATCCTATTACAAGAATTTTCAACTTGATCCTTATCAATAGCTATGTTTCCATCAGCCTGTTTTTATGCGCATTTTGTTTGAAGTATCACATCAGAAATGAGTGATGGACACGGCAAATTTCGATTAAAAATCCCTTAATTCTGTCGACGCCAATAGTCTCGTAGGCAGCGCGGCCGACATATAGCGCTGTTGCGCTCCGGGCGTCCCGAGTTCGAGTCCCGGCTCATGGACCTTTCCCGATCCTGTCCCCCTCTCTCCCTCCAACTTCAATTCCTGTCCTGTCCTAATAAAAATGGCAATAAAAGCCAAAAATATATCTTTTTAAAAATCCCTTAATATAATTTTTTTTACGCTCGCTTGAGGTGGTTTTTGACTTGTGAGAAAAAGGGTTAATGCGAATAATGGGAGATGGAAACACATTTACCGAATAAATTCCTCCACATGCATCAAAAGTCATGTGACTTTGTGCGATGGGATGGCAAATCCTGGCTAACCAGCGGACCGACCTTGTTGCACAGCATCTGAAATGTTGTTATGGTCATTCTTAAATGCCTGAGCAAAGTCTGTCATCGAAGTATTTCTGTATAATTGCCTGCCAGAACTGTTTTACACGACTGTGCCCAAACAGCCGGCATCCGCCTCCGAAAGCAATGACCGTATTTACCGTGTTTCATCTTGAGGTGCAAGAATTTATTATTATTATATGAAAATTACTATATTCAGTGGCTTCTCCTACTTTTCTTAGTGATATATAGTGCCAGTTTATCAGGAAGTGACAATTTTGTTCTCTTTGACTCGTTGGATGGAAACATTTATGCGACATTCCAAATTTGCGCACAAGTTAAATTCACAGTTGTGGATGGAAACTCAGCTAATGAAGCATGTTATGTCTTACCAACTGGACACGACTGGGCGTTGCACAAACGGGTGCCTTTGGAGTCACCCATACATTCTTTTCCACCATATTTGGGAGCGGGGCTGTTACACAGACGGTGTCTGCGCTGCATTCCTCCACCGCACGTGACGGAGCAAGAGTCCCATGGTGACCAGGGTCCCCAACCTCCATTCACTGAGACACCGAGAGAAATGCAGGGTCATTGGGGTTTTCAGGTTATATTCTGCAAACACTTCAACAGGTGAAAAAACTCACCTGGGCATGGATCCTTCTGGCACGGTTCAGTCTGACGACCATCTCCCTCGCAGTCTTTCCCGCCCATCTGAGGTGTAGGGGAGTTGCACAACCGGATGCGAGTGATGACGCCCTCGCCACACGTCACTGAGCAAGAAGACCAGGGGGACCAATGGCTCCAGCCGCCGTCCTGCTTGACTGCATGAAGACAGAAATAAGCATTAATGAGGTGCATGGGGATCCAAATATGATGCAAGTGGCAGATGTAGTTCAACTCACAACGTTTGTCGCATTCTTGTGTGTAACAATCTCTCGTCTGGACAGACGTGCCGTCGCAGTTGCTGTTGATTCGGTCACAGGAGCGTCCGCGCTGCTGAATGCCTCTGCCGCAGGTCACCGAACAGTGTGTCCATTCCGACCAGGGCGACCAGCCATCCACACCCGCATCGTTCGCTTGAAGAAAACAATCAGAGAAAATATGTGAGCCGTGCTGGCAAAATGAGTGTGAATACGCACGGGCTAATTTTGAGCTACAGACAAAAAAAGTAAAAAATGTCAATTTTGGTCGATTTTGAGGTTTTCACAAAAATTTGTTCATTAAGCCCTCATCTAGAGATCCCAATGCTCCAAATACTGTTTAAAAATGTAAAATTATCTTTATTTGTACGTTTTCTGAGAGGAGTACCTTTTCTCTGCTCACTTCTCGCACTGACTGTTCGAAGCGCCCACATAAAGACAACACAGCCTGCACATGATCCCGATAAATATACACATACACACAGTATTTAAGTATTCACGCAAACATAATCTGTTATGTCTTAAGTGAACTTTTGGGGAAAAACATCGGATGTGTAACATATTAGATCCGTGCATTATAATAGGGCTTCATATATAAGCCGTCTGTCACATTAATGTTAATCTAACAATAAAAGAAAAGAGGGAATTGCTCGCTGCTCTTGATTGAACTGCTTTTGTAGTTTTAATAATCAATTTATTTGTAATGAACACACTAAATAGATTTTTACATTTGATTATTTGGTTTTCTTACCTGAATGCTTTTGTTTAGATGTAAAATTAAAAAGTAATACACTACACTTGTTCTTTTTTGCATCTTTTCTTATTTATAACAAAGATAAAATAAAAAATAGCTATATTGTGATAATTAATACAGAAATGATTATTAAGTAAATAATTGGAGGAAAAGATGCAATGTTGCTAGGTGATTTTTGCTTTGGAACCTCAGGAAACTTTAACTCGATTTTTCTCGAAATGGACTTTGCTGACTCTATCGACTTCAAACGCTCAGTCATTTTTTTGTCTGATTCCAACAAATCATACATCATTTGGAAGGCCTTTTAAAGGCACAATATGTAAGTTTTCGCCGCTAGAGGGCGCGTATTCAAAACAAACAAAGAAACAAAGGCATAGTTTGATGATGCCGTGACCGAGTGTGGAATCATGGGAGTTGTGGTCTTCATCCCCACAGCTGATGCAATCCGATGGGACTCGGGCAGAAATTATGTTCATGGATGAGCAAATGATTTATTAATGTAGTAGAATGAAGCAGGGTGAGGCTGAAAGCCGTCGAAGCGAAACGAGGCGCTGAACGAGCGCGACACATGGCTGGAAAGCAGCGGAGCTTTTATTATGCCACAGTCGAGCGCTGCCGCTGCTTCCGGTCGTGCGTATGTGGGGTAAAGCAGCGGAGCTTTTATTATGCCACAGTCGACCGCTTCCGCTGCTTCCGGTCGTGTGTATGTGCGGAAAAAAAAGCAGCGCTGTTTTATCATACTAGATACATTTGGTTCTGTTATAATGCTACTCTGTGCGGTCGTCACCGGTCTATTAAAACACACAACATATTAAAGCGTCTTTGGTGTTTCCATGTTTTCTACAAAATGAAACTGGAAATCGAGGGGTTATGACGTCATTAGCAGGCGACACAATGACACTATAGACACGCTCCGTGTCACTAGTTAAAATTGCTTATTTCTCTGGATTTAAACATTCTTCGAAAAACGTTTGGCATAATGTATGCACACAAGTCAGCAAAATATATAACACTGTTCTAGTGGTTTTTGGATATTTTAATAAAAAAATCTTACATATTGTGCCTTTAATGGAGAACGTAAAAATAAAAATAACAATTTTTTGAAAATTTGCTCATTGTGGCCAGAGATCAGATGAATGATGACCTACATTATGAATTCTGAAACTTGACTTACGTGTTCCACAGCGTGGGCAGCATTCGCCATCAGGGACGGTGGCGTTGGCACAGGGCATGAGAGGACAAGAGATTTCACGGCACACAGTGGCGGAGTTCTGCGAATAAAATATTTGAAGCAAGTTTAATCGCACGATCCCAACAGCTGCACATAATGGATGAGAAATAAACGCCTCTCAGCTGGCAATAAAAAGTGACCCTTGGCTTTGGCAGGAAAATTGTGTGGTGATATAAACTCTGAGCGGGCAGCAGGGGAATACATCTGACCGGACTAACAAAGTGTTTTAATGTGGCCAGCATGAGGGTGGAGAAGACATACTGAGTCAGCGGCCACAACCGCACACACACAAACACACACGCAGGCGCTGGTCTCACCGGAAACCAGAGACAGCGGGTATCACTCACCAATTAAAACATTCCTGAATCCCGGCCATTCAGATGCATGTGTGCAGTGAAACAGAGACACAGAATGGATTGAGAGAGGAAGAGACTGCACCTTTTTTCCTTCTCCAACACCAAGACCAGGGATTTTGACTAACTTAACCACCAGCTACCCACACAAAACAAGTACTGAAACTTTAAGTTTTTACATCAGTAGGAAGACCCATACCTGACATGTGCAGTGGGTGCAGCTGTCCACCGTCCACTCGTCTTTGTCTCTGTAAACGATGCCATTGTGCAGACAAACCCCCTCGTGGATTTTAATCTGAGTCATGATTAAGTTATTGTCTGCTGTCTGAAAGCCAGAAGAAGAACAGAGGAACTGTCATTAGAAACAACTTTGAGGGAAGTGGCTGAGGAACAACTGTTTGGCATCTGAAGAGAAACAGGGTGGAGAGACACATGTATGTATGAACATCAGCTGGTTTTGATCCTCACCACTTGGCGGAGCTCGTTTGACAACTGCTTCACCACCATGCCGAGTCCCTTGAGCTCCTTAAACATGCTCGACAGATCGTCGCATGGGAATCCACAGATGTCCTGCAGATCTGAAGAGGAACAGGATTCTGACGTTAACTTCACGAGTCCATGATGAGACCCCAGACACATTACAAGCACATGACGATCATCTGACCTTTAGACTTGTGTCCGGTGTAATCAGTGCGGATGGCCGGGCTGGATCCGTTCACGGGGTTTTCCAAGGTCATGACATCAGTGATGAAGGTTGCTGTATTGACAACGCATGAGCTTTAATATAACATCTCTGATTTATATATGTGACCCTGGAGCACAAAAGCAGTCATAAGTAGCACAGGTATATTTGTAGCAATAGCCAACAAATACATTGTTTGGGTCAAAATTATCCATTTTTCTTTTATGCCAAAAATCATTAGGATATTAAGTAAAGATCATGTTTCATGAAGATATTTTGTAAATTTTCTACCGTAAATATATCAAAACTTAATTTTTGATTAGTAATATGCATTGCTAAGAATTTCATTTGGACAACTTTTTTTCACAATATTTAGATTTTTTTTTGCACCCTCAGATTCCAGATTTTCAAATAGCCAAATATTGTCCTATCATAACAAACCATACATCAATGGAAAGCTTATTTATTCAGCTTTCAGATGATGTCTCAAAAAATTGATCCTTATATGACTGGTTTTGTGGTCCAGGGCCACACATGCTATATTTATTTACTTACATTTTTATTTGTTCAGCATGTAAGAATATAAAAAGTCATGCTCTATTAAGCACTCACAGCTCTCGCATCCTTTGTTGCGTAAAATCGCATCCAGCGTCGTTCCAAAAACAAACCGCACGTTCTGGAGAACTCCCTGTAAAACGGGATAATGGTCAAAAACCGAGGCTGGCAGAAAAAACCAGACACAGTTCCAACAGCTACTATTACATGGAACATTCAGACGAAGACTGTTAAACAAAAAACACTCGCGAAAGACGAAGCGCTTTGCGCGCATGAACCGCGTCTTTACGCGTTTCCAAAAGTCTCGTTAGAGGAAGAAAATACGCATCAAATGGAACTGTAATACATCGGATAGCACGATAATATCACAGATGACTACAATCAATCAGATCCGATACATCAAACATAAACAAAACCCAGATTCTTACCATGAAGCGATCGGATTTGGCGACTCCTTTGGCGATCCTCAGGCTCGAGATGTCCGCGCTCTCCTGATTCAGGATCTGCTGGATCGGAGCATCGAGTTCTTGAGTGTTGATCTCCTCGCAGCCCACATGGACCTGAGCTCGATCCTCCTGCACAAACACCGTGATGTTCTTCCAGTGTCCGTTCGCCACGTCCACGTCCTCAATGGACACCACATGCTGCCCGCTCGCGGTCCAGTACACCAGATCCACGGTGTTGGCTTTCCCGTTGGAGATGATCTCAAAGACGGATCCGGTGCCGTCTGTCCTCTCCACTGAGACCAGGCTGCCCCTAGTGCGCTTGGCTTGCTTGAGGTTGGCGGTGAAGATGAAGCCTCTCTCGCTCTGGATGGAGTAGATCAGGTCCCTGAAGGAGAGCTCGGGCACTGAGGGGATCAGGTTCGGGTTCAGGATCTTGTACGCGGGGCTGTTTGGATCGGGTCCCTTCACTAAACTCACCCCGTGATGCTTCTTGTGGACATGAGTGAGCTCGAACAGGTCAAACACGGTGTCATCATCCGGCATTTCTGCGGATTCCGAGAGAAAACGAACGTGAGCGTGTACGAATATATCCAACCCGATCTCATGAAAGTGCGTATCAATAGCATGAGTTTATGTTTCGATTTGGAGTACTATTTATACGCAGAAATTGACTTTTGGCGTGCGTATGATACGCAATGGCTAGGATTAGGGTTGTGGGGTAGATGCGTATCATATGCACGCGAAAACTGCGTATTATATGCACGTCAAAGTCAATTTCTGCGTATCAGTAGCACGATGTTTGTATTTGGCATACTATTTATACGCATTTTCATGAGACCGGGCTGAAAAATACAATACAATACACATTTTATTTCTGTAGTACATTTAAAACAACTGCCATTGACCAAATTGCTTTTCAGCATCATTACATACAGTCACGCAAACAAAATTAAACTTTAAAAATTAAAACCTGATCACTCTAATCAATTCTAAAAGCTCTACTAAAAAGGTAAGATTTCAGTCTAGACTTAAAAGCATCCACAGATGCATTGGAGGAGGAGCAGCCACTGAGAATCAATCAAAGTTTCTCCTCACCTACGCGTCTGCTGCTCACGCAACTCCACAAGAAGAGGCACAAAACGAGTCCTCTCAGAGTCATGATTCCCCTGAAATCACATCACATCACATCACATCACATCACATCACATCACATCACCACATCACACATCTGTCTGTAGCTACATGTGAAAAACCGTCTCGAAAGCGCAACGCTGAACGCTGAAAATCACCTGAAGAGAGACACTCTTATAGTGAAGACGCTTTGCCGAGATCCCCTTGTATCTTTGACTGTCTGTGTGTGTGTTGGAGATGTTCCGCTCTTCTGTGCACATGAGACTCCAGCGCTATTTAAGTAATTTCACACATTCCTCAGCTGCTCTCTCGACCAATCAGCGTTCAGCATGAGCGGTGAAGATGCAGCCTCTCTCGCTCTGAATGGAGTAGATCAGGTCCCTGAAGGAGAGCTCGGGCTCTGAGGGGATCAGGCTCGGGTTCAGGATCTTGTACGCGGGGCTGTTTGGATCGGGTCCCTTCTCTAAACTCACCCCATGATGCTTCTTATGAACATGAGTGAGCTCGAACAGGTCGAACACGGTGTCATCATCTGGCATTTCTGCAGGTTCGAATGCGAACGTGAGCACGCACGAATATACCAAACACATGAGAACGAACCAAAGCATAAAGTTTCTCCTCACCTACGCGTCTGCTGCTCGCGGAACTCCACAACAAGAGGCACACAACGAGTCCTCTCAGAGTCATGATTCCCCTGAAATCACATCACATCACATCACATCACATCACATCACATCACATCACATCACATCACACATCTGTCTGTAGCTACATGTGAAAAACCGTCTCGAAAGCGCAACGCTGAAAAGAAACACTCACCTGAAGAGAGACACTCTTATAGTGAAGACGCTTTGCCGAGATCCCCTTGTATCTTTGACTGTCTGTGTGTGTGTTGGAGATGTTCCGCTCTTCTGTGCACATGAGACTCCAGCGCTATTTAAGTAATTTCACACATTCCTCAGCTGCTCTCTCGACCAATCAGCGTTCAGCAGGACGCGCATATTCAACATCAGGAGAAAAAAACTGCGCATTCCACAGCAAACTTTCCATCAGCACACACACACACACACACACACACACACACACACACACACACACTCACACACACACACACACACACA